GTATACTCTCGTACCCTTCCGCCCCGTGCGTACTCTTCGCTCTTTCAGACGCGAACCAACTCTCGAGTGGTGGTTCTCGAACACGGGCATGTACACGTACGCGCCCGGGCCCACTGAATTTAACGTGGCAGGTGCCTGCTGAATGGACGCGGCTAGCGGCTAGGGTCCCGCAACGGTCCCCTCCCCCTGCTCGTTTCTCTCTCCTTACTACCCGATGCCGCGTCGTTTCTCTGCCTGCCTGACTTTCTCTGTCTTGCTTATCTATGGTCGGCTCCTCTCTGTCCTCTCTCTCTCTCTCTCTCTCTCTCTCTCTCTCTCTCTCTCTGCCCCTCTCTGATGATGGCCGCGATCGCTCTTGCTTGCATTATGGCACACAAGAAACGCTCGACGAGCGCTCTCAATCATTTACAGAGAGTCACTCTGCGTTGACGAGCTCCTCTTCTTCTATCTTCCTTCTTTCCTCCTTTTTTTTCTCTCTGCACTGGACCAACGCCGGTGTCCGTGACGGTTTTGCTCTATCCGTCGCTGTTTCGCGGAATCGCATGTAGCGAAGAGCGATCCGGGTTCGTTGTTACCTGCCCGGCGAGTCGTGTTGCTCTCGAGAAAACAGGTGGAGAAGCAGGTACGCGAGCGAGAGCCTGATAGACTACGCAGTGGATCGCGAATGAACGGCGTGTCATTCCTCGGGGTACGAAGGGCGAGGCGAAAACCGCTGAGGAATTTGGGTGCACGAGGTAGCTCCGAGCTACGAAAACGAGCGGTATACACGTGAAAACCGGCAGACATTCAGCTGTTTCATTAGACAGGAATTAGCGTAATCTTCTACACATATAATAACTACCGTTCTTAACTTTGCTTATCCGACAATCTCCAAAGATCAAACTTAGAAGATTAGTCAGATGGTTTCGAAACTCTTAGATGTTCTTTTAATTTTCATTAATTATTATAATGATTCCCAAAGTTGAAATCGTAGAATCTCCTCGACGAAAATGTTGCAAAATTAATAATTTCATTGTGAAACAATCGTTTGTGATTGACAATAAAAGAATTTCCACGAATTTCTTACGCTTTAGAGTGGAAAATAAATAAGAATAAAGAAAATTTTCCTCTCATCGTATTCTACGTATAAAAACATTTAAAATAACATCAAGAAAATTGCATATGTCTACGAGATATCACATTATCGTCGATTATTATAATTTCTTCTACAATTTAATCGATTCGTTAAGTTTATTCGTACTACTAATTACATTACAATACAATTAGTGGACAGTGATGGACAAATTAATTAACCACATTAGCGTCAGTCAGTTGACATTAGCAGAGCCAATTCTATCTCTACTAGAGAAGAAGATCGCGAATCCGTTCTCGAACAATGCGGCTGCTTCGGGAGATGAGAAAGTACGAGTACGAGCGAGGAGGAGAGCGCCGCGCCGGCCAGGATCGGGCAAAGGTAAGAGAGAACGCAAAGAAGAATTGTGGGAAAGGAGAGAAAATTGCAAAACGACATACCGTGCGACCGCACACGCCGAGAGAATAATTCCATGGTGCGGCTCAAAGCCGCGCGCAATTTGGCCTCACGCCAACGTTTAAAATGTGTTACAACACAAATATCGAGGCGGGAGTAATTCACGTTATTTTTTTCGTTTAAAAAAAAAGACACAAAACGTAAAATTTACGCGACTAATTATAACTGCACGTATATAGAATAAATTGTGACTAAGAAAAACTCGGAAAAAGTTTAAAGTAGATAATTGTAAATTTCAGGAACAAAAATTCTTGCGAGACTCTGTTCTTTACCGCTTTCCGACTAAAGCTGTATTTATCTATTATATTTTTATTGATTTATATATTATATTGTAATATTATATTCCTTCAATTAAAATTGTTTGAAAGCCAGCGCAAAATGTTGCTCGTAATTGTCGGCTTTACGCACGATTCTTGTTCGTTTCGCGCGTACACGCGATCCTGCTTGCGAAGTGTGTTAATATGTGATTTACACGAGAAGATGGAATTATCGCCGTCGATACCGCCAGCCAAGAGACGAGGAAACGAGTCGTTGCGGTTAACACGTGAATACGATGCCACACGCTGCCACTTTGCGGGGAAAATCTCAGGGGTTTGACGTTCTCCGCAGAGTGGAGCCTCCAGAGTGGAGGAGACAAGTCAGAGGAACGTGCGAATATTAAAGCCGAAACGCGCGCGTCTCATATTCCCGAATGGAGAACTAAAAAAGCTGATCCTCCCCACAAATCGGATCGCGACTGAACAGGACACCAGTGTTTCCTCCTCCTCTTCCTCCTCCTCCTCCTCCTCCTTGCAGGATGTCTTCGCGGACTGATCGACAAGCTTAGGACAAAGTATCGTGTTACAGTACCATATTTACGAGGGATCATCTTTATGAACGCGAGAATGTCAATTTGCGAACGCCACGTATCTAAAAATTTGAAACTAATAGATTTCCAGAGACGTCAGCATTTAGTAATAAATTGCTTTTTCATAAAATTTATTACTTAATTTTTACTTATTTTATTTCAGTTGTATTTTTGAGTTTTATTTATGTTTATAATATTTTATGTATATTGTATAATGATGCTCTTTTATATGATATTTTGATAGATAAATTTTATTAACGTAATTAGGTATGCTAGAATGAGAAAGTATGACTAGATTAATATTTTTATTCTACAAAATTTGCGTTAAATTTTTTTTAAACGCACATGTTTTAAATATTGATCCGCAATTAAAAAAATTATTAAAACATTTGATGTATGTTTAAAATATAGCATGACATTTAAAAGATTTATTTAAATTACAACACTATGCAGAGAGGACGAATGGAAAATAGAAGCTCTATATATTTGAAGAAAGAACAAATATCTATATCCAAGGAGAAAAAGAACCCTCGAATGTCCTCGGGAATGCATTCCTGCCGGTGCTACAACCCAAGGATCTGCAGATTGTACCTGTTATCGCGATTAAACACGCGTGCATCAACGTCGGTTTTGGCGAGTAACGGCCATACGAATTTCAACGAGTTTCACGATTAAATTCGATTTTCGTCGCTTTCGCTATTTTCTAATTTTAACGTTCGCTCGTTATATGCGAGCGGATTGTCCTCCGGTAAAGGACAAATCCGTAAACCCGTCTCGACATGCATCTTAATAATACGACCTTGAATATACCAGAACCTTCGTGGTTATATTCTCGTCATCGGGACTCGATTCGCTGCATCCGTCCGACTTGTTAGGATCGACGCAATAGGAATTCGTCGATGGAATGTTGTGAAACGTGATGAAACAAAAGCCATTTTCGCTTCCAAACTGACTTTACGATGTACGCGTGACATCGTTGGAATGCAGCGCCAGCGCGTTGTAAGATAAATGAACGGCCTGTTAGTTTAATAACGATAATAATGATGATGGAGGGAGAGTCACCACGTGGTGGAGACACGCGCGTGTTTGTTCGATCGGAAAAAAAATAGGTCGTGTAAGCAACGTTCGGCGGGGATACGAAACGACCGAAACGGCATGAACTTTTACGGCGATGACGTAAGGCACAGACTAATCTCGTTCGTGACCTCGTTATTACGTTCCTTTTTTTCTTCTTTCTTTATTTTGCAAATTACGTAGGGCTGACACGCTATTTTGTGAATTTGATCGGCTGAAAGCTCGTAGATCGCGATGTCGCGACTTTTCTGCCATGGCACAAGATAGTAAAGCTCTACAATCCGCGACTAATCCGACTAATCCGACTAGTTTTACAATCAGAAGTCTAGTTGATTTTTTAAATGGCATGTAATTAAAAATGGTTGCGACGTTCCTGCAATAATTCCTGCCTATGTTATTCTAAATAATTTTTGTTACAGAAAATATTTTTAATAGCAGCTATCGCACCGTTTCTAAATTATCGAATCTTATCGATGTAAAATAAACTATTGAATTTATATCAGTGAATATATATATCGACCATCAGATTTTTCACAGCTGCATCTTGGCGATCTAAAAATGTCTTTCACCAGAAATAGGATGCTTTTAATCATGACGTTCTAAACTGGGCCATTGATTTGAGTGTGGAAATCAATTACTATCGATGAAAAAAGAGTAATTGTATCTACACCAAATTTTGCCTCTGAATGAAATGAAGATTAACACGATCGGAGTCAATTGAAAAAAAAAAAATAGACGTATCTATTTCAATACTGTATTTTGTAACATTTAATATGTAACAAGTATATTAATAAAAAAAGGCTGTATATATTACTAAAACAATTTTCTATTCTTCATTTGTACATTCGTTCATCTTCGTTTAATTAGAAATCGAATGAGAGGCCGCAATCGAACGATACGATTTCGACGCGAACGTCGTGCCGCGTCGCGCTTTTCATCATTCGAGCGAACGCGCTAACGGAACATCCATTAATAAATTTCTCAATAAGAATCGATTGATGCACAAAAAGCGGCTCCCCTGTTCGCGCACAAAAAGACGCAATGATACGCGAGGCTCTGTCACGCGTGTTCGCGCGCTAACGGAACATTTTTGCGTTCTCTCACGTTCGTGGAGCGGTAGACGTTTGTGACATTTCGGCTTGACGAATGCGGAAAGCGTGACAGATCATCCAGTAAAGGAAAAATAAAGAGAGAAAAAGAAAGGAAAATGTAGACCTAGACGGAATTCGCGTTCGTGCATTTATACGGTACAGAAGTCTGGACTCACGAAATTATACCGGTTTCGGTATGCCGAGAGGAGCTCGAGACACGCTGCGAGCTGCGAGACGGAGAGCGGAGCGAGCTAAACGAAGAAAGAGCTTCTCTCGAGAGTAAGAGATTTCCACGCGTCTATTCGCGGCAATTTGGCGAAAGGAATCGAAAACGTGCGCTGTCTCGGGGAAAGAGACAGTGGCTTCAAACAGATAGAGGTGAAGGAGGAAGAAAGAGAGGAGTAGCGAAAGGGCTCGGAGCCGTCCCTGGTAAACGAAACCGGGCGGGCAGCTAACTCACCTCGTGCCATATTCCGACAGGCTGTACCGTCGTTTTCGACGCCGACGACGACGACGACGATGGCGAGATCACACGTAAATCCTTCGTGAAAAGATAGAAGAATCCTTATCCGACCTATTTGCGACGGAGCTCCTCTCTTCTTCCCTTTTTTTCTTTTCGCTATCCGCAGGCAGCACTCGCGCACGTCTCTTTTCAAATTTTCAAACTGACACACACACGCGCGCGCGCAAACGTAAAACACACACTCACGGGAGATGCGCGCGCGGGTACGCACGCACGTGAGAGGATGCCCGAAGCTCCGAACCAGCCAGCAGCCAACCGAGCAACCAACCGACCGACTAACCAGCCAGCCAACGGGGCTGCCCGCATACCGACCGCTCGCCGCACACACGCGCAGACTCGACAACGGGTTTCTCACGGGGCGAAACGTCAACCGACCGAACCGACACTCGGTTCGCCGCCGTTCGCGGGAGCGGCGCTCGGCAGCTGCTGCTGGATCCCGTAGCCGGCGTAGGAACGTCACGCTCCGCGTTCGCATGCGAACCGAACCGGCCGAGCGACTAGCGCGTACTGATCGTACTGATTCGACCGACTCGCCGACGACGCCGACGACGCTGACTGCCCCGTCCTCGTCGCGTTCACGACCGTTTCGCGATGGCGGGGACCCACCGTACCGAAGGAACTCTTTGACTCACCCCGCTCGTTTCTACTAATGTAAATTTACTTCAATCTCGATTCGATCGACGCTTTCATTGTTTATCGTATCTTTCTTTTATTATTTCCACAAATGTAAGATTAACTTTAATCTCGATTTAATTTACCATCTATTATTTTATAACGCCCGTTTTTCTACTCCACTGTAGTTGAATTTCAATTATTAAATACTAATGTATTTTTATTTTATATTTAATCTTGGTTCAACCTTTAACTCTTCATCTTTTTCTAGTTCTAAGAACTAGAAAAAGGTGAAGAGCGAGTTAAAGTGAAATTAAAGTTAGTCTACATTGGCAGAAATCTACGGGCATTATTCTAAGAATTAGAAAAAGATAAATAATAAATTAAACCGAGATTAATGAAAGTTAATCTACATTGGGGTGAAAATAGGCACAAGTCTCATAAATCAAGATCAAGGCAAAATTAGGCGCGTAAAATCAAAACTTATTTTTTTAAATCGAGCCTTTTTTTATCGATGATCGCTTTGCGATCAAGGGTGTCGATAGCGTTTCGTCAATGAATATGAATCAACCGTAACTTTATTTTATAATATAATCGCTTTTTTTTTACAGCAGAATGTCTTGTTTTTCAGTGAAGTATAATGAATACACGTAAACGATAATATAATGCGCATGGATATTTATCGTAATCGTACATCAATCAAAAATATTAAAATTATATATATATATAACTGTTTTTTTTCTCCTGAAGAAGATAATTTACAACATACATCTTTTTTTTTTTACCTTATATCTTAGAACTAACCGACGATTGGGTGCTTCCTTTCGAGTTCACATGTTTTACATGTGGACGTAATAGCGTTGGATCTTTATCACGCATATTCCTCTATAAACAAGTTGTATGCCGTATGATTCTCAATTATATCACGCTACAAATTTCTAAATTTGTATTACAAGACATATAACGCTTAATCATAATAGTTATCCTACGATCAAGTTAAACCAACAAAGATACAGTGCACATCGGTATGCAAGTTAAAGAAAGCTGTTGTTGCTTATTTATGCTCGGTATCTATAAAACTTACATGAAAACCGTATTATAGAACAGATGATCAAACCGTGCTCTTCAAATATAACGCGGATTCTGCCAATACTCCAACATATATCTCATTTACGTACAACATATGTATATGTATAGATACGTATACACGTGTTTTATATATATATATATATATACATACATACATGTGTATAAAATAATTATGAAATCCGTGCACCAAAAAGCATTCATTCCCAATGGATTTCAACGTTCGGTCGTTCCTTTATTGAGAACGTACAAATAACATACCTTGCTACAAGATTACAAGTATTAGGATATCTGAAAGCAAAAGGAATGATTGACTGTACTGTGAATACACTCTCGATCGATCGATGAAGCCGAGAAAGCGAGTTAAATAGCGGCAATCTATATTTTCCATGCGGGTTCCGTTCATGCTCCTAAGAAACGTCGTAAAGATATTACGCGGTAATGAACTGTGTTGTGAATATCATTGCATTACAATCTACTTAATTAATAATTAGCTCGATATTTTAACAAAATTTACACGGAAAAATGACATCGACAGAGCTACAGTCGATTTCCTGTGTTCCAAGATTTTATAATCTAAATTTTTCTTCATTAACTGTCTTTCCTCTCTTATTCCGATTATTTGAATTTCTGTTCTTCAAAGGATCATGGTATACGATTTATTTACACGAAAACGTACTTTACTTAACTAAGTGTCCATTCTTCTTGCCCTCGTCAAGATTGAAACTATGGATACGTTATAGTTTAAATTAAAACAAAAGACATGTATTTTGTAATATAAGTGCTTCTATGCGAAGGGGATGAAACGAATCGATTTTCGTTTTAAACGTATTTCGTTGGTACAATAATGAATGTCGATTCTATTCTAAATGTTTCGCAAAGTATGTAAGAGCACTCATAAAAAGATACATGTCTGTTACTTTTATCTCTACCACAACATATCTAAAACTCATCAAGATTGGGAAGGCAGAGAGAGAATACTTGCAAGTGTTAATTTCTTCGTTAGTCATATATTTTGGGATTTATTTTTTTATTTCCATCACAATATGAATATTCTTCCATTTAAAATTTTTTATGTACAAAATGCCAAAATAAGGTGTCAAATTCGGATCTGTCGTTTGACAGATTTGCTGTCCTATTAAACTATTTAGCATTCCTTTTTAAACTAGTCACGAAAATAATTGTTAGGACAGTGCACCATTATATCACTGACAATTTATATTTATATTTGGACAACTAATTGTGAAACTATCAGAGTCATAATCACGCACACACGTGCGCGCGCGCGCGCATGTATAGTATCATAAAAAAAAATTTGAAGAAAATATTGATATAATAATGGATTGTTTGAAAAATTAGTTTCGTGACTGTAATATTTTCCATTACTCACAAATTATCATATGACGCGATTACATGCTCACAAGTTGTGAGAAATTAGATGAAAGTCGAAACGCGCAACATTTTCGTCCTATGCACGTGTAGAATTGCGATTAATGAATAGAGGAAAAATTTCAATGACCTGAGAGCATAGGAAATTGACTGTACGTAGAGCACATTGAAGAGGATACACGGACGAAAAACCAAGAAGAGAGATTCAAAAAGTGAATAACTGATTGCAAAACGAGTAGCAATGACCACACCATCGATATTTTTCTATCTATCGCCTAAAACACAGACAAATCTGAATCTAAATAAGAAAAACTGCAAATTGAACGAATGAGTAGCGTGTATTCCGTCAAGATTGAGAAAAAAGGGGCAGAGGAAAGAGGGAGGATATAAGTTTATAATTTTTGACAGCCAGTTACCTCAAATATCTCTTACGTACATTAACGTAAGAGGTAAATAAGGATAAAATTAAAGGTAATATTGGAATAACAGTATTGCGGATTGGTGGTTAGCTCATAGACACTTGTCCATTGGAGAGTAGTCTCTCAACGGCAGCGTTTATATCTCCGAACGTTGCAATTAACGCTGAAAAATAAAAAAAAGAGATATTACATATCATAGGCAGTAATTAAATGTAAAATATTAGAATAATATATATTCTTATGTTTTAAAAAATATTAAATATTCGTAATATCAGACATTATTTAATTTTAACATCAAAATATGATGTGATCGTTTGTGTGATCGAATATCATATCTGAAATATAATGTATATTGATAAAGTTCTTCATTTTTTTAATATAGTTCTCAAATAAAATAAAAGCAAGCAAATAAAATAAAAAAATTAGACAGAAAAAACTGCGTTGTCAGGATGACTCTTACCTTGTAAATTAGCATCTCTATTAAGAAAACCCATAGCCGTAAGTTGCTCTAACTGCGCTCTGTAACGTTCCTCTGGTGGAGGCACAGGTTGACCGTCAACTTCTACACCTTGATTTAATGCCATTGCAGAAACCTAATACACATAAATGAAATATGATTTGGCATACACAAGTATATCATACAAGTATGTCATACTTATACGAGGTTAAGAAACATTATATAATCAAATAGATATAGAGAATGACTCTTATTATACCGAAATGCTACAATTATACATATTTTTTTAATGCTCATTATTAAAGACTGTATTGTTTTTAAAGAACATTATTAAATATTTAAATTAATTAAGTTACTTTAAGAAGGATACTCTATTCCAAAATCGTTTTTCGAGAAGAAAATTGAGTTATTTTGAAAATTAAATCATTGTTCTTACCATACGTGCCATGAACTGAGAAAATGCGTCTTGCTGATTGCTGTCCGATGATTGGGTAGTTGGTACACTGGAATTGGTGCTGGTCGTGCTCGGTGTTGTAGGTGCAGGTGGGACCGTAAGGCCCATACTAAAACGCACACGTTTGCACTTATATAATCATGCGCTATTAAAATATTAATTCAAACGAATGGTATAGCGAATATAAAGAAACTTACTTCTCCACGAGTTCAGGAGCGATGGTGCGCAGTTGCTCCATACCCTGCTGAATCTGCATAATGGCAGCTAAAGCTTCAGGATTGGTGACGACATTCTGTATCTGCGGGTTTTGCATTTGTTGTATGAAGGTGGGCATCATCGCACGCATTTGCTCTTGCATCTGCGGATTACCACGGAGAAACGGATTTGCTGCAATTATCCGACTGGCCATCGCTGGATCAGCCGCCATTGCTTCCAATATGGATCTCGTATACGGAGCGTTCAGCATGTTTCGCATTAATTGTGGATTCTCTATCATCTGTGCCGTGAGGCTCTGCATACCGGGTGAATCTAGCAGACCTCTGCTTTGATTCTGAGGTACCGTACCACTATCGTTCTGGCTTTGATTCCATGGGTTTGGCAGCGGATCTCGATTTTCCTGACCCTGCTGTGGATTTTGCAAATCCTGATTGGAACTGTTTTCCACTAGAGCGGCGAAAGGATTACGACCATTCGTTGCTGCTGCTAACATTGGCTCCTGAATATCACGATACATACGACGTAGAGCGCTGTAACCTCCAGGTATGCTTTCTAGATTAGACAAAGCTCGATCGTGCGAGCGCATCAGTTCTTGCAGCATTGACGGGTTACGTGCCAATTCCATCGTTTGTCTGGAAATGAGTTTTCATAAATAACATTGTGCAATATTGCACAATTGACAAATATCTAGTTTCCAAATTGTAATTTAAAATATTAACTCAGCAATTAACTTAAAGATATAAATGAAAAACATTTCAAAGTTAAGAAATATATAATGCTGGAAAAATGTCAATTGTAATTGGTTTTCAATTCAATAAAGAGGTACAAAAAGAAATTTGATTAGAGATAAATCTTTGATTTGAAATTTGTCTTTAAATGTATATATACTGCGCAATATATATGATTTACAAATCAAGCTTGAGAGGAAGCCAAGAAAGAAATATTATAGTTTGACTATTGTATGCAAATTAGCTTTTAAGTAAATTCAAATTATAGTTTAAGGTTACCTACCGTAAAAGTTCAGGGTTATTCAACATGTGACTGATTTCTGGGTTACGTTGCATCAATTCTTGCATTTGGGGATTGGCGGTAACCAAATTGCGCATGTTCTCTGGATCGTTCATCAAATTTTGAACCAATGGATTATCGAGCACTTGTCGCATCGTTTCCGGATTCGAGAGCAATTCCCGTTGCATGCGTTGCTGTAAATCTATGAAATTAGCCGAGCCTAAGCCAAGGGACTCTAATCCCATCAATCCACCTAAGCTCCCCAATCCAAATGGACTGGCATTAACATCAGCTGTAATTGATACACAATTGTCAATATAAATATTTATAATATTATTATATACTTCCTTGTGCAATATAAATATTCATGTTTACAAATTTAAAACTGAAATATATATATATTCTCTTTAAATAATCCTTCTTGATTGTGTAGGTATTAATCAAATTCTAAATACAAAAAATCTAATCTAAATGACAATCTTGCGTTTCGCGGGTTTTCTCCGTGTTCAAGTGAACTGCAAGGTTCACGAAACGTTGGCATTCCAAGAATGGATCTGAACACGGAGAAAACCCGCGAAACGCAAGATTGTCACATAGGTAACACCCGTGAAAGCCTCAAGAATATTAATCTAATATAAATTTATTGTATTGAAAAATTTTTTAAGTTATAAATTGAATTTGTAAATTGTTTTTGCATATTTTTAAGAAATTTTTTTAGATACGTTATAAAGTATTCACACGTCATCTGCAGCTCACAAAAAATTCCATTTTTTATTCTGATAGTCATCTACATGCAGAGATATATTAATAATTAGAATGCTTAGAGAACACAGAATACTCCATGACCAGCATACATGTTAAATATTCCATAGTATTGCAGCTTAATTTTATTGCTGTATTCGATTAAATTCAAGTTGTGCTTGATAGAATACCTTGTGGTCTCGAGGCCGAGTTGGACTCCTGATTCTGCGTAGTTGCGGTGCGTGGAGCCTTGATCACCAGATGCACCGCCAGGCCGTCCTTGATATTGTGAGTACTGAGGGTCTCATGATCCTTCATGATCTTGCCGGCGAAGATGAGGCACAGCTGATCGGCCTGTGCGTTAAACTTCTTGGAGACTGCCTCCTTAAACTGCCGGTGTGTCCGACGAAGAGGGGGGAGGGAGAGAAAAAAGAAACAAACACAAGATTAGAGATGCTGAACTAACCAAATCGGTTTGACAGCTGATGCTTGGCGGAATGCCAAGGGGGCGGCGATTACGCCGCGAACGGCACCGAGAAGGACGAGGCTCATTGTCGCCATCGTCATCGCCCCACACTTACTTCTTTTATCGACGCATTCTCCTCGATCTCCACGCTCTGCTTTTCCTTCGGGGTTTTCACGTTGATGGTGATCTTTTTCGGACCACCCTCCTGCTGGCCTTCTGCCATCTTGAATCGGTAGATGACTCGTTACTTTCGACGCTCGCGCGATACTCGGTTAACTCGGTACGCGGTACGCTCCGCGTTCGGGCGCTCGCTCGGTCTATCCGTCTCTCTTTGTCCTTTCCGCTTCTCTGTCTCTCTCGCTCGATCTCACGATCGCGGAATTGCGCACCGACGACACCCGCGACGTGACACGACACGACGCGACGGCGACGACACTCCCTCACTCTCGCCTCGCAATCTCGCGATCCGCTAGGCTAGTCCGTACTGTCCGTTGCGGCTTGCGCCCGACGCAACGGCGAGGAATTATTACAGAATATACAGTAGCGAAACTCTCCCGATTCCAATAATTTCCAGCTCCAGCGTGTACGAAATTGAATTGCTCATGCGCGAGCTAAAGCCCATGGCACATGCATGTAGAGCCACTTTTGCCAACTCCGATTAACTTATGACGAATTCGATTGGAAGCACTAGTGCGCACTGCTACATATTAAACCCATTGTACACTGATTTAATGTGAGTATAAAAATGTAATGCAAATATTTCGAATTATGAAATACATATTTTACCTAATGCGGGGTCTACAATAGAAGTCGTAGCAGTCGCAGGGTCTTAAGTCGTAGAAAATTAACCAATCACAGTCGAATATGAGAAGAATAATCAACTGTGATTGGTCAATTTTCTACGACTTAAGACCCTACGACCGCTAGGACTTCTATTGTAGACCCCGCATAAGGTGTCGTCTACAATATGCGAAGTAAGCTTGGTTTAAGAAGTAAGAGTAAGAAATTGACCAATCACAGACGATTGCGAAAAGAATAATCGACTCTAATTGGTCAATTTCTTACTCTTACTTCTTAAACCAAGCTTACTACGTGTATTGTAGACGGGCCATTATAGTACAATAAAATGTATTATGCGGGGTCTACAATAGAAGTCGTAACAGTCGTAAGCGGGGAGCACAGACTTTTGCATAACGCATAACATGTAATGCATAAGAAATTCAATCAATCAGAATTCTTTATTTCATGGAAAGGAAGGAAACGGAGGGCTTTGATTGGTACATTTTCTTATGCATTACGTGTTATGCGTTATGCAAGAGTCTGTGCTCCCCGCTTTAGGGTCTTAAGTCATAGAAAATTGACCAATCACAGTTGATTATTCTTCTCATATTCGACTGTGATTGGTTAATTTTCTACGACTTAAGATCCTACGACTGCTACGACTTCTATTGTAGACCCCGCATTAAGTATTTCACGATTTAATCGATTTCTATGTTTATTTATAAACATATCTTTACTATTTATTTTGTGTACGACGGCTTTAATGTGCACCAGTGCGCACTGAGTGCTTCCAATCGAATTCACCATTAGGCTGCGGTCCACTTGACGCTACAAACGCTTCGAAGCGTTTGAGCGACCAATAAGAACAAAGAATTTTACGAATTGACTAATCAAAGAATGGGTGTATTCAGTATTACAATCGCTCAGTGAGCTCTTGCATCTGATTGGCATATTCCGTTAGAATTAAAAATATAGACCAAACAGATTCAAGAGCTCGCTGAGTGCTCAGTGAGCGGTATAATGCTGGATTCACACTGCATCCGATTTTCGTCGTACGACGAAAATCGGATGCAGTGTGAATCCAGCAGTAGTACCGAATACACCCAGTGTGTTTACAACTCCATTACTCCGGATCTACAATAGGTGTTTTAAGCCTTAAGTCGTAAGAAATTGACCAATTATAGTCGAATTCGAGGGGAATAATCGACTATGATTCGTCCATTTCTTATGGCTTAAGGCTTAAAACTCTATTGTAGATACGGGGTTATGATTTTATTCGCATCCAACATGCTCCAATCATAGCTCCTACTCACTCCAACACACTTGATAGAGTGAGTAGGAGCTACGATTGGAGCATGTTAAAGCATGTTGGAGCTTGCAAACAACCTTAAGACTCTAATGGATCCAACCCATCATGTTTAATTTGCCCATGATCGGATTGGTGGATTGTGAACGAATCCATAGCAAGCGTTGTGAACAGTTGTGAGCACTAGTGAGCATTCACATGCAAGCGTGAAGCGTTAAACAGTGGAAGCAGCAACCAATCAGCTGGGCGATACGAGTAAAAAATAGTGGTGTAAAAAAATATTTTTTACGCCACTGTAAAAATCGCCTCGTTGATTGGTTGCTGCTTCCGCTGCTTGACGCTTGCATGTGAATGCACCTTAAGTTGTGAGGGTTAGGTAGAACGTACCTCTTTGGTTCTGATCGTATTTTCGACTTCTCAAATTAAAGCCAATTGAAGAAGAAGAATAAAGTTACATACAAATTGATGCAAATGTGACGGTGATTCGTGACGCTTGTGACTCGTTGAAAATTCATGTTGCTATAGAAAAAAATCCTATAAAGAAAAAATCATCAAGAGAATCGACAACCATGGTAAGAGAGCCGAAGAAATCGATGATTCTACCAGGGTAACCAGGGAAACGGCGAAAATCTTGCCAAAATTTGTTTCCCTAAAGGAGAGTAATTGAGGTTAACAATTTAGCATGACATTGGATGACTTTTCAGTTTCAGTTCGGGTTTAACATGTTCCCGGAGATTCCGCGGCCCTTCAACACTCAGTACAAATGCTTCTCAGTGTCGATGTTGCCTGGAACCTATCGTCAGGATGTTGAACGCGGCGGCAAGAGTGAGTACCAACTGGTAATTAGATGATAACAGGAAGAACACTGCATGATTGATCTACTTTTTAGTAATCATGCCACCATCTGCCTTGGAGCAGCTTACAAGGCTCAATATTATTTACCCGATGTTATTCAAACTAACCAACAAGAAAACAAATAGAATTACTCATTGTGGTGTATTGGAATTTATCGCTGATGAAGGAAAAGTCTATTTGCCTTATTGGGTTAGTGAACAGAAATCTTACAACTCTTTTTATATATATATATATAATGATAATAGATAAATAATAAATTATTTGTTTTTTTTCATAGATGATGCATAATCTTTTGCTGGAGGAAGGCGAGTTACTGAATGTAGAGAGTGTGTCATTACCAGTTGCAACATTCTCTCGTTTTCAGCCACAGTCAGAAGACTTTCTAGACATTACAAATCCAAAGGCTGTATTAGAGAATGGCTTGCGCAGCTTTGCCTGTCTAACTACAGGTGATGTGATTGCGATCAAATATAATCAGAAGATTTACGAAATGTGTGTGCTAGAAACCAGACCTGGTCCAGCAGTTAGTATCATTGAGTGTGATATGAATGTGGAGTTTGCTCCACCGGTAGGCTATAAAGAGCCAATACGAAAGCCAAAGAAGGAAGAAGATGATATAGAGCATCTGGCTGATTTGATGCCGGCGCAGACTGGCTTTGTACCTTTTCAGGGTGAAGGGGTCCGGCTGGATGGTAAAAAACGCAAAGACATGCCCAAGCAGGAAACTGTAACTACCAAGCCGACCTATGTTCGCGGAATACCAGATTATGATTATCAAATAGGCACTCTTAGGTTCCTGCGAAATATGAAGCCAGCGAATAATAAGGAGGTAGAACTTTAGTTGCAGTTCTCTACAGTCTACGACATAGAATTATAAATAAAATTTTGTCTCGAACTTTATTGTTAAATGCAGATCTATAATTTTAATTTATGGCAACTTCACATGGCAGTACACGCGATTGTATTGTGATTAATATTGTTTGTATTCTTTTAGACGAAGGATCCAGACGAGTTTAAGGCGTTTACTGGCGAAGGGTTTACACTTCTAAGGAAATCCAGAAAATAATAGAATAACGAACAATTATTTATTTTTAATTTATAAATTTATGAGAGAGTTTGCCAGAATGAATGTTGTATTATCTGAATTACTATTTTAATAAGATATACGTATGTTTTTATTTTTCTGTTATATATTTGTCATAAGCAGAAAAAACATTGTTTCATCTTTCATATTAGGTCTTTCTTGGAAATAAAGAAATTGAATACTAAACCATATATTAAACGCTATGTAGGGGATAATTTTATAGAATTTTATATAGAAAATTATATAAATATTATCAAGGACAACTTTTTTTCAAAGTTATTTGTCTATCAATCTACTCTTACAAAGTATTTATTTCATATATAATAGTGATATTACTTTATTTACAACAAATATACGAATTATTTTTAAATGCTAATTAATTAATTAATCTGAGACAGATTAAAAGTATTTGATAAATGTTGAATATTCACGCACATAATTGCATTCTTAGTAAATTTTGGGATATAATCCATAATAGATATATTCTGGAAATTCCGATGATTCTAACTTTTCTTATATTCAATTCTTTCCACTTTAACTTCATCTCCGACCAGTTGATATACGTATGTAACCACTGTTGAACTTTGAATGTCCATCAATACGAATGATGGTATAACTGACCTAAAAACAAATTATTATTAAAAAAGAATTCCCATAGAATTTTTTTATCGCACTAATTATTATTGTAAATTTATTATTGTAAATTATTGTTGTAAATTATTGTTTATTTTATATTATTGTAAAGGTGTCTATTTTTCAGAGAAAATTTATACATTAACGATTAAAATATTGTATTAAATAATTAATTTAAAAATAGATTTGTAATAAAAAAAAATAGAATATATTTGTGAACTGAATCTTTGGAAATATATTTATTGTCAAAAATATTATATTTGATACACTTTAATATTTTTTAATATCATTTTTAGATTTTTATAAAAAAAACTTACGTATCTAGAGGATTGTAAGCTCCGGTGGCTGATCCAGGATTGATATAGAATTTATTTTCATGTTCATAGGCTTCAAATTTATGTGTGTGTCCAGATATGAGAATATCGACATCTAATTGTCTCTGTATCAAGGCTAAAGATTCTGGATCACCCCATGGAACTACTTGATGTCCATGGGAAAGTCCTATTCTGAACTGGCCTACAGTAACTACTTTCTGTTCTGGATAATTTAGATTCTGTAAACAAATAAAATTCTTTGTTTTGATTTGCACGTAATAATATTTAAAATTATGCAGTTTCTTGTAATTTAACTTAATCAATAATAACTCTATTTTTCTTGTTCTCAATTTTACTTGATCTAATTGTATCTAATTGTCCATTTCTACCAATGTAGTTTAATTTTAATCTTGGTTAATTGAACCGAGATTACAGTTGATCTACATTGGTAGAAAGAGCATTGTTTTAACTACATTTTAATATTATTCCATGTTTTTGTGTTTAAATGATTAAACAAAACTGTTGGATGAATATATACCTCATCGAAATCTCCTCTGACTACATGTACATCACTGGCTAATGTCTTGAGATAATCATAGGACTCCTTTGTACAAAGATTGCCAGTGCATAAGATATGCTGTATTCTTCCTGGTACCAGCAGTTTCTTGAATTTACTTGGGAGACTACTACATCTATGTGGAATGTGCAAGTCTCCTAATACCAACACAAGCTGAAAAAATTTGTTTCTGTACTCACTTTCAAATAAGAGATTTTAAAAGCTTAGTATATGGTATTATATTAAATAATTTTCTTTTTCTGAGTAAAAAATATGTATACATTTTTTAAAGTCAGAACTTTATGAGATAAAAATTGACAATTGTAAATTATTGAGGTAAACTGAAATAAATTAAAATATTATTTATAAACAGAAAATAATTAAATTTTAACTATAAATGATTTTCTAATTACACAATACAAGTTCAATGAATGAAAGAAATTATAAAATAATATACTACACCTATTTTAAGGTTAGATTACTAAAACAATTTTCAATTTTTCACACATTTATTGATTATTTTTGTATTACTCACCATGATTTTTGTAATTATCTCCTTTTGATATATTTCGATATTTATAATCACACGATATTAATAATTGCTATAATATAATACACAAGAAGCTGACAGATGCTGAAACGTCAAACATGACACCGGAAGTGACGAAGTGTACAATATACATACAATATACATGAACGGAAGTCAGAACGTTTTCGAGATGAATTTTGTACTGATCTGCGCAGATTCCAAATCCGGCCATTTAAACATTTGCGTCGCGGTAATTTTGAAGTGATGACAAAATTCGAGGAAACAAAAATGAGCGTTTGGATTCTAAAGGCCCTTCATCACTCCCGCTGATCGATTTTACCGACGGTCTTCTTTTCTTTGTAATTTGTAAATATACTCACCCACAAAAAAAAACGGATCACTATAAATTATAGTGGACGGGATGTCCACTCTGAGGTTTCTCTCTGATTATAGCAATTATTGATATCGTAGGATTTCAAATCGTGAAAATAAAAATCTAAATAATTGACAAAGAAATTGCACTATCTCGATTCCGAATATTTCCAGTTTATTCAAGGCGCTACATTTTATTCACTGTTGCAGATCTCAAGTATTATTTTATCTGTGACATAACCTATTCAATCTTCCACCCTGAATGGTCTTCAAAATTATTATTATTGCGTTTATGACCGCGCGTGAAAGTTCAAATGAGTAGTGCATTGTTTTGTTAGAATTGTTATAAATCGGAAAATATTTTATATGTGTATATATTTTTGTCAAATTTAGTCGCGTATAGAATAAAAAGTATTCAACATGAAATGCGTCATACCCGGCGGTAACATCAAAAGTATGTTCGTCATTCTCTTAATTCTTTGTTAGAGAAATCAGAATTGTTGTTTTATAGCGCAAACGAAAATCGTCAATTTAATTTAAAATTTTTTGTTACATGTGACTAATTTAATCTTTTATACTTATTTATTTTGTACTGGATACATTATTATTTACAAAAGAATGTATTAAATGTTATACTTGAGCTAAATAAGGGACCTATTCTGTAACTCTTAACGACTCTAACGATATCGTTAAATTGTCGTTGTGCAGCTTTTTTACTATATATAAAATCTACACAATAACAATGTAACGGTATCGTTGCAGTCGTTAAGAGTTACAGAATAGGACTCCAAAACTTTTAAAAAATTTAATATGCATCAGAACAAAAATTCAGATAAATATAATTTCATGAAGCTTCTTTGTACTGGATTTTTTAATTAGCATTTTTTTATTAATGCAGTTTTGGCAAAGGCAATACATACACTAGCAAAGATTGGAGACGAGATGTATGTGAATCCTCAAAAGGAATCTATCTCTTTTCGCACAGTCAACATGGTAAAATCAGCATATTCAGACTTCACGTTTCACAGGAGTTTCTTCTCTTACTATGATCTTGGAGATCTCGAAGAAGAAGAAGCACAGAAGTGTAAAATTTCAATGAGGGTAGTATCTATTTCAAATACATTTATGTACACGATATTTAGCCTATTCTACAATTTACAGAGCGCAATGACAGTCTTCAAATCTGCACATACATTGGACAAGCATGTAGAAACTTGTCACATTCATTTGGAGATGGATGCCTGTAATCTAGTATTTATCTTAAAATATAAAAATGGTATCAACGTGTCCCATTTGATATCCATTTTGGATTCTGAAAAGTTGCAAGTACACTAAAAACATTTTTCTTGTTAAAATTGATTCTCAGATATAATTTAGAGAATGATACTACTTAATGCTTAGAAACTACTTAAACTTGACTAATTCTATTAATTATAGTATTTCCAAATATTCTGAATATTTGAGTAATTAAAAAGTAATAATTTTTTAATATCATAAAAAAGAAAATATCTGAGGATCAAATTTTCATTTGAACTTTATTGGTCATATCAGATAATGAAACTTTGGATTAAATAGGCATCATACACTAAGGATGGTATGTCTAATGAATTGACATCACGAGCTCGAACATTTACAGAGGCTCTGCAAAATTTTCCACAAAATTTGATCGAAATAACGCTTCAGATAACGCCAAATAAATTATTATTTAGAAACTATGTGGATGATGAATCACGTAAGAAATGTTTCACTTCTAGCATATATAAGATGCAAAATAATGTAGTAATTAATATATTACTGTCAATTAATGTCAATTAATACTACAGTCATATGTATTACAGTTATGGCAAATACTACACGTACCCAGCTGGCCTTTGGTATTGGAGAATTTGATCGTTACACGATTGGCAACGAAACAAGTATCACATTTTGTTTAAAAGAAGTCAAAGCCTTACTCGTTTTTAGTGAGAGCGTAGGCGTTCCAATTATTGCAAGTTTTGGAACAGCAGGAAGGTATACATTAAATTCTCAAGCTATTTAATATTAAGTAGATATATACTTTGATAGTTAAAGATTAATATATTGAAGTATTATTTCTATATATCAGTAATATAAAATTGAGTATTTATATTTCGATAATTATTGATTTTTCAAGATAACTTTTTTTAGACCAATATTGTTTACGGTGAAAACTCAAGCCTTTGAAACAAACGTGTTATTATCAACTCTAAGTCCAGACTGTGACAGTCAGTCAGACATATCGATTGTCAGTAGACAAGTGCAATCTGTTCGAAAAAAGAATGCTTCAAAGAGTACATCCAATCGTGTCAACAAAGTGTCCTCGAGTCGAATAAAAAAATCTAGCAAACCTACAGTTAGTGATGTGTCCAAGAATACGCTAATAAAAAAGAAAATTCAGTTGGACAAAACACTTAATGAAAATAGGAATGCTTCTGTGAGCATCGTTACCACAAATGCCAATAATTCTATAAATGGTGTGCAAGAAAGAAATTCACATAGGCCGGTACAAAGTTGTCGCTCTGTCACATGCAGTAGTCCTGCTAGCACATCTTCGACGATTAGTAAGAAGATTTCGGAGGGCCAACGGAAGTTAGTAAATTCAGTATTTTCTAGCATCACAAAGAGAAAATCGACGGATGATAGAGAAAATCAAAAGGAGAAAGAAGATG